GGTACTGTTTAGATTTATCCTTTTTAAAATTAATTTATTACCTTTTTTAAAACTTTTTCTAAATTTAAAACACTTTCAATAGTTTCACTTGCAGTTGTCCATCTAGTTTTAGAATAATTTTTAAGACTTCCACCAGTAATATTCATTTGTTCTATTAATAATCTTAATTCTGCTCCTTTAATATATAAAATTAAAATCAAAATATAATTATTATAATAAATTAAAATTATAATTAAATTAAAAAATTATAAAATTTTATACCTGCTCGATGTGAAGATTTAAAAAAATTATATAAAATATTGCATTTTTTAATTAATTTATCTGCCCATTCAAATTTTAAAATATCTTGTGCAACTAAATTTATTGCATGAGCTATACATCTTATACTAAAAATATGTGGATGTTGTGAAGAAATAATATTTTGTGCAAGTTTTACATTAGTTCCATTATCACTAACTATAGCAGAAAAATGATCTACACCAATAGAATCTAAAACTTCATTAATTTTACTAGCCAAAAATTCTCCTGTATGTATTTCATCTGAATAATCACAAATCTTATATAAATATTCTTTATGCTCAGGTGTGATAATTATAAAATTCCAAATTGAACAATTTTTTTTACTAGTCCAACCATCTAATGCTAAATTAAATTAATTAATTTTAATTTATTTAATTTAAAAAATAAAATATAAAATATATTTACCTAATGTTAAATTTGAATATTGTTGAAATATATTATTAGTTTTTTGATTAATAAGAGCTAACTGCTGTTCTAATAAAGGGCTTGATAAAAATTGACGTGTTGGTGGCTTATAAGATAAGTTTGTTTCTTTTAAAGCTTCAATAAAAAAAGGATTTTCAATAATATTCCAAGAAATTCCACAAATAGCAAAAGCTCTAGCCCAAGCATGATGAATTCTTTTAATTTTTTGTTGATCTAATTCTATTATACTAACATATTGATCAAGCTTTCCATAAGTATTGCTTTTTCTTTTTTTATTAGATTTATTTTTTTCAGAATTATCAGAAAGAATTTTAGTAAGAAAATGTCTAATAGTGCTTGAATCTGCCTTTGTACAATGATTTGCTAAATGACTTTCTAGTTTAATTGGTTCACCACGATTCCAAAATTTTGCACAAAAATTATAAATTGCATTATATCTTCCTTTTCCTGTTCTTGCACCTTTAGTAAAATACCCCCAAACTGGATTATCAGGACGACCACCAGGATGCTAATTTTTTTCTATAATAGAAGTAGATATACTATTTTCTTCACTAGAACTCATTTTAAAAATAATATTAAATTTCTAAAATATAAAAATAAAAATAAATTAATTATTATATATTTTAATACTAGTTAAATCAAATATAGTAATTATATTATTATTTTATACTATATATTAATAAATTAAAC